CTCCGCGCTCTAAGTCCTCATCTGATGCCCTGCCGGCACTGCTTCCGGCCATCCTTAACCCCGGTTCAGGGTCCACTTAATGTGGACATGCTAGTTCGAATTAGCAAAATGCTAATTCGAACTAGTTTTTTAGTCTGGATGCGTTAGTTCGAATTAGCTTAGTTCGAATTAACTAATTCGAACTAAGTTAGTTCGAATTAGCGCTGTAGTGTAGACATACCCAGAATAACTTAAAAGACTGCCTCAAAGGCTGGAAAAATGAATCACTGTACAGATTGGGGATGTTAGCATATAGCCGTTTACATGATTAACCGATAAACCTGGACTCATCCGTTCATCCAATGGTTACACTTACACACACACACACCCCCTTGCTGCCTCTGTATCAGAGGCAGCAAGGGGTGGGAGAGGCAACACAGAGCTGCCTTTCCCCTCAGGCTGCTGCCTTGGATAGAGAAGCAACAGCGTGGGAGGTGGAGGGGACAGGCAGGAGCCGATACACATAGGGAGCTGGCTCCCACAGAGCCACCTGTTCTCCCCCCGCTCCCCACCGCCTTATTGCCTCAGAGAGAAGCAACCATGGGGAGAGTCATGGGGAACAGGCATGAGCACCGGGTCCTGCCTGCCCCCTGGGTTACAGGCAAAAATCCAGTGGTTATACGTTTACACAAATACATGTTTGCTAACATCCCTAGTAGAGATGTTTCTCATGGGAAAAAGTCTGATCATTGCAAAATATTATAGGTTATTAGTCTTTTTCTATGAAGTATCTAACACATGTGTATCCTGTACACACACAGTCTAGTCCTTGCTGTGGATGGCTCCTTTGCCTCTCTTCACCTGAGTTGTGTCTTCTGTATTGCATTCCCTAAGAGGTACAATACAGAATCTGACCCATTATTCATTTCCTTGGCAAGAAATGGAAATTTTATCACTTCTAGTATTTTTTTATATCATTCATGCTGCCCTGAACTTTTTGTCCCAATATGAGACACAGACAAGCAGAAAAATTCAGGGTATATGAGAATACTTCTCATATAAATCTGTTAAATCATTCAACTCCCTCTGTTTGATACATGATCTATGATTCATTTGTACAGTTACCCATGGATCAGTATTACAGTGATCCAAACTCTGTAGAGAAATTATTTGCCAATATCTGTGTCTTCAATGACAGAGCAATTTACTGGCATGTAAATAGTAATACTTAGGGATGATCTATTAGAACTGTGTCCAATTTAAACTCAAACCACATCCTTATGGGATAAGACAGATATAATGAGTACTACTGAAATCTTTCTTGAGTGATACTCTATTCATTATTGTATATACAGCAGATCTACATGAGCACAGAAAGAAAAGTGCACAAATAATGACAATTAATTTATCTTTAAGAAATTCTTTCCATTCTTGATATACAAGTTAGGGATGTTAGTTATTGATTAATTGAATAATCGACTAATCACATGAATTCTTAGTGGTTAGTCAACTATTCTATAGTCCCTGGGGGTGGGGTCAGCAGCCAGTGCAATCCAGCCCCACTCCCGGGGAGCACCCTGCACTGCTGCCTCTGTATCAGAGGCAGCAGCACGGTGTGCCAGGCGGGAGCCGGTCCACTAGGGGAGACTGTTTAAAAACCAGCTCCCCTCATGGACTGGCTGCCTGCGGCCCTGTGCTGCTGCCTGTTACAGAGGCACCAGCGCAGGGTGGCAGCAGCCCCTGTCCACGGGGAGGGTCTGAACTGCCCCCAGACAGAGGCTCCTGCTAGGGGAGGGAATGGGGGGAGCCTGCTGCAAAGCAGCCTCTGACAGGGGCTGTAGCTGGAGCAGCCTTTGTCTGTGGCCAGCACCAGCACTACCACAGAGAGAGGCAGATTCGGGACAGCAGCCCATCCATGGGGAGTCCTAGTCCCCCATGGACAAGGGCTGCTGCTAATAATGAGCCTGAGACGCTAAGGTGGCACTGCGGAGCCAGTTTGGAGGGGGGTAGGGAGGACTGCCTTTTAAGCCAGCTCCTGCTTCCTCCCCAACCCTTGCTGCCAAGGTGGGGAGGGGGGGCAATGTGAGTAGTCAACTAGATAAACCAATAAGCCTAATTTTATTGATTAATTGACTATTTGACTACTTGTTCATATCCCTATTAGAAATACTTCTATTCAGTTAACGTAATGTAGAACACAAAAGTAAAAGAAGCTATAGTCAACCTCTAAAAATTGTAAGTAATTACTTTTGTCCAAAAGTTTTAATTTTGAACAGAGAACTTACTAAAAGAGAATTCCCCATTCGCAAAATTGCTTACGAGAGATAGTGTAAATTTCTGTTAGTCCTACTAAAAGTCTAAAATATTTTTTCTTATAATTCAGTTTACAGTGCACTACTTTTATAAGAATCATATCTAGTCCAAATTATTTGATTTTTGAAAGTGGATGGTTCATAACAGTGGAGTATTTTAGCTCATATGGGAATAATTTTTTCAGTGGTTTTGATCACTGTATGCAGTTGTTTCTTATGTCATTGCTTCTTATAAACAGAATGGACTGTAATAGATAAATACAAATGGACATATGTCAATGTAACAAAAAGGTATTCAAAAATGTTCTGATCAATAATAGTTATTTTGAACATAGTCCAGAACATACCATTTGAAGAGCAGAAAGTTCTTCTGTTAATCGAGATATCTGTATATTGTAATGTTTCCTTGCATTCTCTACCTGCAATTAAAAAGATATTTTACTAAATCTGCACATACTATTTTTCTGTCCTATGATGCATGTTTCTGCGACTGGAACTACTGACAGATACGGACCATTACTGTACACTAACATATGAAATATGGCTTTTATCCATGGAATGCTGATGCTAAATAACCTGTTCCCTGGTATTTCTGAGGAGATGTTTAATAACAAATTGCCTCTAGAGAGGAAACTCTGAGATTCCTCAAGAACACTGTATTAGAGTTAAAAATAAATATACTGACATAACACAAACAAAACGGTATTTTTCAATACTTTGTTCTCTAGATTTTAGAGGAAAGAGAAAAAAGACTGAGAAAGTAGTTAAGGGTAATGAGAACAAGTAGTTAGGTGTATTTGATGACAGGGATGTGGTGGACATGGAGCCGCTATCTGATAATCTTACAAATACTGCATGTAACCTATTTAGGGAGACAGAACTATGAAAAAGTTAGTGCCAAGCTTTTTATATACATTCACTGTTTTACTTCAATGGAGGCAGCTGGAAGAACAAGCAGGAACACCACAGAATAACTGCCCCAGATAAGAACATCATGACATAGCCCTGAAAGACAATGGGGAAAGCTATTACTTGAGGATGCTATATCCTGTGACCAACCCAAAGTTACACAACTGTTTTGCCAGTGCTAAGAACTAACAGATCAAAAGGCTATAAATAGATAAAAAATAATTTGTTCTCCAAGGAAGGTAATGAAAAGGACTCAATAACTTTTTAAAAGGACACTCCCTGAAGCAGGAGAGATAATTGGTTTGTGAATTAAGGGACAAGACTGTGACCCAAACCCCAGCAGTCTCAAAGGATATATAGGAACTAAGGACCTAGCAAGATCCACTTCTGGTAGATGACTAGATACCTAGAAAGCTAGAGGGGACATGATAGCAGTTTTAAAGTATCTAAAAGGTTATTATGAAGAGGAGGGAGAAAAAATGTTCTCCTTGGCCTCTGAGGATAGGACAAGAAGTGGTGAAATTAAATTGCAGCAAGGGAGGTTTAGGTTGGACTTCAGAAAAAACCCTCCTGCCAGTCAGGGTGGTTAAACGCTGGAATAAATTGCCTAGGGAGGTTGTAGAATCTCCATCTCTAGAGATATTTAAGAGCAGGTTAGACAGACACTAGTCAGGGATGATCTAGACAGTGCTTGGTCTTGCCATGAAGGCAGGGAATGGACTCTAGAGGACCCATCCAGTTCTAGTATTCTATGATTCCATGATATATAGGATTCTATATACGGGAACTAAGGACCTAGCAGGATCTACTTGTGGGAGATGGCTAGAAACTTAGAAGGCTAGATATGTCTGTTTGTGACAGAGGAAAATGTTACACGTGGGGGAACCCCAAATGATTGACATTAATTAGTCAATCAACTCTCAGGCTGCTAGAAGTGGGATGGACCTGGGATTCATATAAAAGGCAGAGCCAGCTAATTCCAGAAGAATGGTAAAACTCTGGGTGCCTGTGACGGGGTGGCCCCGCCCCGCACTCAAGCCCAGGGAAACCACCCGGTGCTGGGGGCGGAGAGAGCCCCACCCACACAGCCCTACTGGGCATGCTCCAAGGGGAGCGCAGGTACAAAAGGCTTCGGCCTGCTCAGAAGGGGCAGACTGCAGCCCGAGCTGGAGCTAGTGTCCAACTGCCAGAGAGGGAGTCGCCAGGAGGGCTGAACGTGCCACTGCCGAGCCTGAGCCGGGCTCGGCCGCAGCCGCCGACTGACCCCTTGTGACCCGAGTGCTAGGCCGTATTTCCCCGATCGCAGGGGCAGTGAACTTTGGACTAGGCCGGGAGGCCGTATTTCCCCGATCGCAGGGGCAGTGAACTTTGGACTAGGCCGGGAGGCCGTATTTCCCCGATCGCAGGGGCAGTGAACTTTGGACTAGGCCGGGAGGCCGTATTTCCCCGATCGCAGGGGCAGTGAACTTTGGACTAGGCCGGGAGGCCGTATTTCCCCGATCGCAGGGGCAGTGAACTTTGGACTAGGCCGGGAGGCCGTATTTCCCCGATCGCAGGGGCAGTGAACTTTGGACTAGGCCGGGAGGCCGTATTTCCCCGATCGCAGGGGCAGTGAACTTTGGACTAGGCCGGGAGGCCGTATTTCCCCGATCGCAGGGGCAGTGAACTTTGGACTAGGCCGGGAGGCCGTATTTCCCCGATCGCAGGGGCAGTGAACTTTGGACTAGGCCGGGAGGCCGTATTTCCCCGATCGCAGGGGCAGTGAACTTTGGACTAGGCCGGGAGGCCGTATTTCCCCGATCGCAGGGGCAGTGAACTTTGGACTAGGCCGGGAGGCCGTATTTCCCCGATCGCAGGGGCAGTGAACTTTGGACTAGGCCGGGAGGCCGTATTTCCCCTATTGCGGGGGCACTGAACTTTGGGGGTTAGGCCGGGAGGTCGTATTCCCCCTAAAAGGGGGGACCACGCTTCTGGCCGAGGCCCAAGCTGTGTGAGTGATGCCCCAGAGGAGGGTGGCAACCCCTGGCAAGGGGGGGGCCTCCGACAGTGACAAAGAAATTTTTATAAGATAGTTAGTGTCTTCAAAAAGAAGTCCACAGGGAAGTGTCAAAATAGCATATATCTAGAATGACTAAAAACAAAACACTTTGATATGACAATTCACTTTTATACTGTGTTGTTCAATTTAAAGTACTATATGTGTAAGATACAAATATTTTCCATAGAATATCCTTATAGATACTTTTATTCCTCTTGTTCATTTCCTCTTCCATATACTATTCTTATCCTCAGTACATTACTCTTTATCTCTAATTGGCTTAGGAGACAAGTATCATTCCCTACAAAGAAACTGCCAGTATAGATCTTAAATTCAGTAATTGGGTGTAATCAAGTGCCACTGCGTAAAGATGTGTTTATAGTGTTCTCTCTTCTCCACCATGCACATTCTGTGTCTTCCATGGAATGAGCAGCAAGGCTTTAGGTGCCCTATGACGTTTGGAGGGGCTATAAACATTTTTAGCTTTCATAAATAAAACATTAATACATTAGTGTGTAATTATTAGCTATCTATTGGTTACCAGCAAAAAGCTGTTATTATCATCCAGAAATTGCCAATAAGTGTAAGGCAGGTTTATGGGACTGCAGCCAAGAGAGGAAGCTCTGGGGTATACCTTCTGTGGCTGCAGCCCTGCAAATCTGTGTGTGGCTGGTGCTTGGCATGACCCAGTGCATCATTTCCTTGCCACAGCTCTATAATTCTTCCTTTTCTACTTGTAATCAATTAAAAAACTCTAAGCAGAGGGGAGGAAAGGAGGGTAGTGGAGCACAGGGATACATATCTTGAAGAACCATAATTACCGCACAGGGTGAGTAACTTCTTCTCCACTGAGTGGTGTCCCTGTGGGTGCTCCATTCAGGTGACTTAGTAGCAGTATCTACCAGATTGTGGTGGACACTGGAGTAATTTATGTAGTGGAAGGACTGCATCTGCCAGAGATGTCACGGGTATGGGTCTTTTCAGTAGGGTGGAATGTTGTGCAAAGGTGTGATGGGAGGACCATATAACTGCTCTACAAATGTCTGCCAACAGTATGTTATGTAGGAAGGCCGTTGTTGCGGCCATTGCACATGTGGAGTGAGCCCTGATAATCTGTGGTGGCTGCTTCCCACAAAGTTCATAAGCTGTGTATATGCAGCTAGCAATCTATTTGGATATATGTTGTGCCAAGATGGCTATTCCTCTATATGGCCTGGACCAAGAGATGAACAGTCTGTCTGACTTTCTGGTCTCTTTGGTTCTATCAAAGTAAAACCCAATAGCTCGCCTTGCATCCAATGTGTGCAAGATGGACTCTCTGGAGAAGGTATGAGGTGAAGGGAAATATGTAGGTAAGTATATGGGTTTGTTTAGGTGGAAGTCAGACATGACCTTGGGGAGGAACTTGGGGTGGGGCCTGAGTATAACTTTATCCTTAGTAAACATAGTGAAAGGTGGATCGGCCATGAGGGCTGCGATTTTGCCTACACGTTTTGCTGATGTTATTGCCACTATGTAGGCCACCTTCATGGACAGGTATTGTGCGGATGTTGTGGCTAGTAGTTCAAAAGGTGGCCTGGTGAGTGTTGAGAACAAGGTTCAAGTCCCAATGTGGCACCAGGGGGAGTTTCAGAGTTTTGATATTTCAAGTGGCATGTTTTGCTGTGGTGTTGCATTAGGAGATGCGGTACCATGGGTGAGGGGAATCGGTTAATTTATTGAAAGGTAGTGCGGATAGGGGAAGTAGGGTTGTCTAGGCCAGGCAGGAGCTATCAGAAATACTGTGGCCTGGTCGGAGCGTATCTTGTTGATCACTCTGGAGAACAGAGAGATTGGTGGAAAAGTGTAGAGTAGGGAGTGGTCCAGGGAATGGTGAAGTCATCCCCCTCCAATCTCTTGCACTGCCCTGCTCGGGAGCAGAACCCGTGACATTTGCAGTTGAGTACCATTGCAAAGAGGTCTAAAGAGAAAAAAATAAAAAAACTGAGGGGAGAACATTGGTGTTGATATCCCACTCGTGTTGCTCTGAAAAGTCTGCTCAGTTTATCAGCCCTTGCATTCTGCTGTCCTGGTATATATATGGTAGTTAGAGTTATATGGTTCCTGATACACCAGTTTCAAAATGTGATTGCTTCTGCATATAGCGAGCATGATTGAGCACCCCCGTCAACTGACGTAAAACATGGAGAGTGTGTTGTCCGTGAGTCCATCAATAGTTTCCCCCTTTATCAGGGAAGGAAGTAAGCACATGCTCTGCGAATGGCCCTGAGCTCCAGGATGTTGATATGAAGGTGCATCACCAATGGGGACCATCTGCCCTGTACTGACATTGTACCACAATGGGCTGCCCAGCACAGAAGTGTTGCATCCATCATGATCCCTACTGATGGGTCTGGGCGATGGAAGGGTATACTGGCCAGTCGGTTTGTTGAAGAAGTCCATCTGTCAAGAGACTGTAGAAATGGCAGTAGA